AATAGTTTAAAATATGTCTTCATCTAAATAATAAAATATACTTTAAAAAAACTGTATCTATATCTTACAAATGTTAATAAGATAATATAACGGTTTAACAAGTTAATATTACAAGAAATATATCTGATAGGTATATAAATAAGTCTCAGAATTATCAAAAACACCCTAGGTAAGTTATTCATATGGCAGATTACCTTCTAAAAGTTCTGTTAATATTTGTCCTGGTTTAAAAAGAGGAAATGTATATTTATTTCTACAACTTCTACACCTTATAAGGTTCTTAAAAACCCTGGATTATACTGGCCGTATAAACTGAGATAGTTGTTAGATATTTTACTTGTTTGCATTACAGGCAACCAAAATTCAGGAAGGGCAGGTAATTAAATAGCCTCTGCTTTATTTACCAGATGGATGTATGCTCAATATCTAAATAGAAATTCTATCTAAATTCAGTATGGGTCAGGCATTTTAAAATGTCATCGAGCGAAAGCAGTTTTCGGAGCAAAACGTTTTATTATCATTATTATGGAAAATTAATTTTTGACGAGTGACTGCCTTATCCAATCAACTTTTTGAAGCAAAATTAGTTCTGTTACTAACATTTTTAAAACCTGGTGAGTAGAAAGAAAACTACATCAGGAATCGTAATATATTCAAATTAGAAAATCCAAAAAAATGACTTAGACCACTCTGGTTTTCAATAGCTCTATTATTATTAGTAAATGTAATATAATAAAAATGTCTTTTTGAGATGAATATTTAAATACATGACAAACAAAATAATACCTATCAACAATTATATGGTTTATTTTGGCTGTTAATATGTTTCTCCTTTGTTCTAAGTAATCTAATAAAAAGCGCAGAGGAACAAGACCCTCTTAAAACACTCAACTCACTTTTACCACAACCGCTCATTTTATGATTACCTTCTCATCTGCCTGACATCAAACTAAATCAAGTTGGCGGTTCCGATACGGCCAATGGCGGCGCGGCATTCCATCCAAGACCTGACGATCGTTGCTAGGTAACCGCAGACGCCCTACTATTAAGCGGGGGTGGTTGTTGCCCCCGCCACCCCCTGGCTCTTAGGGTAAAATGCCAATATACCGGGGTTTTATAAAGGAAGAAAAACTCGATAACCAAACGTAGGTATATTCAAAATTTTATGAACTTATATCGTGGTGGAATGTCCATGCAAAATATACAGGATGTTTCTTTAATAAATGCAAGTATTTTAAATGATAGTATATTTCGATCCCAGACATTTTCCGGAAAAAGGTTAGAAAAACTTCACGGTAATTTTAATTTTGTACAGAATAAATTACGAAAATTAATTTGGATTCAAAGGGTAATCACAGTATCACAGTGAGTATCAAAGTTCGTGGTACATATTAACATCTTTCATAAAGTTCAAAATATTTTTAACTTGTTCTTCTTCAGTTAAATTTTCACAAATTTCACCACGTATATGGAATCTACTTCTTTCTACCGTATATTGAGGACATTCACATTAAAGTGAGTCACTGTCAACTCAACATCACAGACTATGCATGAGTTACTGCAGTATGCTCAATATGAAGACGATGCACTCTGGATTCATCCGCTCGTCCTAATGCAAGACGTAAGGATGGGGTTGACGGATCCTGTTTTATTGTGCGAAGCTTTGAAGCTTTACCTGCCCACTCATCCTGCCATTCCTTTTCTGTTCTTTTATGTAGTAGTACTTTATAATCATATTTACTAATATAAGGGAAATCAATGGTATCTCTTCAAGCAACTTGCTGAGCAGTTTCATCTGCCATTGTGTTGCCAAGTATGTTAGTGTGACTTGGGACTCCTTTTCGCTGCACTCTCGAATAAGCGACTGAATTTTTTGTTTCGGAGGATCGTGGACAAATATGACATTAATTTTAGAGACGATCTCTAAAGAGTCGGAAACAATTACCACTCTAGTTTGATTATATTCCTCGATGACATAGTGTAACAGTTAAATTTTATCGCTACGACCTCTGTGTGCTAGCTCATAAATTATCGCAAATAACTATTATTTTTGCATCATGTTTACTATAATTTTATTGTTAAATATTATTTTATTTAAATTTTACAATTATGCAACCCGATATACAACGCGATATTATACAGCTACAGCTACACAATATTGTCACTGGACCGGACACACCACCAGAGTAGGCTTTTTGTCCAGCTCTCTTTATCTTTGATCATCACCTGTTCTTCACTTGTCACTGGCAGATCAAATCAGATGTTTTTGGATTTATTTATCCGTTGTTTTGGTTATTGAAATTTAATAATTGTCAGATAAAATTTCGTAGTTAGATCGTTTATTTTTGATGTGGATCGCAGTGTGCAATTCGTTCATTTAATGTTGGGAATTTCTGAGTTAAGTTCGTTCATTGACCGGATATGAAATATGGCTGTGGAAAAATATTCTAGAACACCATTTTTTATTTATACCTTTTTGTGAGTTGGACTAGTCGAGATATATAGTTCTCTATCTATATCCTGGAGGGAGATTTCCGGTTGAAATCTGATTTTGTGAAGGAAATCGAATCCTTGCATCACTTCTTGTTGGTGATTAGCAGGTCTTCGTAATGAAGGACTAAGTCTTCCGGAACATATTTGGTCAGAGACGTGGTTGTATTTTGTTGATTTGGAAAATTTGGATGGACCGCTGACAAATTTCCGTAAGGGATTAAACAGCCTAATTTTTCCGACCGACCGATATTCCGATTGCACGTGCCCAAGAATTCCCCGAAAGTTCCAAGAGCAAGAAGACCGATCTAGACCGTAGCACAGAACAGTCCAGGATTCCATCCGTTCCTGTTGTCCGTGTAGAGGTACCCGTTGGACATCATAAACCCTCGTTGAGGTAAAGTTCAGATTTGATTAGTCCTTCTTTATTACCTTTATTAACTCCTACACGTTGTGCTAGTCCTTGTTCTATAATTGAGGCTCTTTTCTAAGACAACCAATATTATTTAGGGGTTTTATGTTCACCTTTTGAAGTCCTACACCTGCCTGTACATTTGCTGAAGGGCTCCAGTGACAGTACCCCGAGCTGCTGTACACCGCCGTAGCAACCCTGTAGCGATACGCCGTAGCTCAGCCGGAGGAAGTTTTCAAGTACAATCGAATAGAGTAAGACTGTACAATTTTAGTATAATTTTAGATTTGATTTATGGGTATAAACCACCCTGATTTTATCTAGTATTAAGTTAGATAAGGGGGTCTGACGTCATCGGTATAGTTATTTCATTTGATTTAAATTCTATTATCTCTTCCAACCTTTCGATTTAAATTTCTTAACATATTACATTTTACATTTCGTTCTCAATTACACCTTATAATTTTTAGTTTACGATTATTCACAATGTCTAAAAAACACAATTAAAACAGAGATTAAAATTAATAGAATATCCTAGCAACAGACTGCGTAAGTCAGTTGTATCCATAGAGAAAGCCTAATATTTAGCTTATAAAACAATCAACTTGTGATTTATAACCACAATTTTTCTTGACAGAAGATAATCAAAAGCCAAAATGACATTTCTTGCAAATTTTGAAGTGTAATTAGAAGGAAAGTTAAAAGTTTGATAACTTTTTCTACTAATTGAAAATGTCTACCACTAATTTTGATGTTCTGAATGCTTACAGTAAAATTAAAGAAACAAACTTCTACGCTAATTGAAACCACTAATTTATTCCACTAATTGGGAGGTTCCGAATGAAGCTTTATCCCATCAAACAAAATTAACTAGATACATAATAAATATTTGGAAATTTGACAAAATATTCCCAATCGGTCGAGTAGGCAAATTAAATTGTGGAAAATGTGCCCCTAGATAACACAAACAATCCGCGCGCGTAGGTACGTTTCAATTTTGATGAAATAACGCGAAATATAATGGCGCTCGGGCTTTAAAACTGACCACAGAACCGGATTGTTTTAACGAAACATAGGTCGTGCGGCTTTGTTGTGCAACGATCGAATTATAGATAGGTCTCCGTGTTTGCTTTAATTTTAACCGCTTTAATTAATTTCGTTATTAAATGGCATTAGAGAGATACACAGAGAGGATAAATAGAAACGTCGCCAAACGGGATGTAACAAAAATTGGATTCGATATAATTCAGTTGAGTTCGGAAATAACATTAACTCTGTTTTAAACTCAATATGCTACAAAAATATAAATAAACAGACAATATTTTTTTTCTGAAGAATAAACCAAACCTATATTATACAATACAGGATGTCTCCAGGGTCGGACTGTGCCAGAGGGGCCCGGGTGGAATTGTGAGAAGGAGCACTTGTTTCACATATTGATTTGTTGTTAGTGTTTGAAATCAAACCACTAATTTATTTCACTAATTGCAAGGTTCTGAATGACGCTGGAAACGTTAAGCTTCATTCAGAACCTCGCAATTAGTAGCATAAATTAGTGGTTTCAATTAGCGTAGAAGTTTGTTCCTCTGATTTGAATGAAAGCATTCAGAACGTCAAAATTAGTGGTAGACATTTTCAATTAGTAGAAGAAGTTACAACTGACTAACGCAAACTGTTGCTAGGATATTCTATTATTTTTTGTTTGTTTTTTAAACATTGTGAATGAAAAAAAAATATAAAGTGTAAACCACTATTTTCTATTGAATTTCTATATTATAATGTCTAATATGTCACAGATTTTCAGTAAACATTAATTATTACAAATAAACTATAAACATGCGGGATCTGAACAGTCAATTGAGGAAGCTGGAGGAGTTGCAAACTTAATTTATTGAAAAATTAACGTTCTGTATAATTTTACTCATATTTTAATAGTTATATACTGCTATTCGGGGCGGAAATGAACAAATCAGAGATTGTCATCCCGTAAAAATACTTGCCCTTATATTTAAGAGTCTCCCTGTATATCACTAGACTTGCATTGTCCCCGTTGACACATTCAGTAATTAATTAATACAAAATACAACTTGACACTTACCGTGATCTTCTATCCTTTTCCTCTTGATACTGTTGCCATTGGGGTCGTGCTGCAGTCCTAGAATTCCGTTAATGCTGTACGCCCCTGACCTGGGCTCGCTCAGTTGGGTGGCAGGCGCGTGCGCGATCACAGACACTGAACCACCGGGCGTGGAGCCCGACGAGCCGCCGCTGGTGGCTACCTGGTGGGCGTGTTTCGCCTTTTCCGCAGCCTTGTTTCTCACGATTCTGTAAAGAAGAAAATAGATATTAGTAATTAAATATGTTTAATAATTATTGAAAAAAGACAATAGTATAAAACTGCTTGTTTTGCTGTCATCGCTGTTTCTTTTGTAAATCTATCAGCTACCTACTACCTACTAGATAAAAAAAACAATTCTACAAAATAGGCTGTGAAATAGGGAGTTGTGAATCCTGGAAACTTATTTGCACAGTACTGAAGGTCAAAATTTATGAATTTATGCTTGTTTTAAAATGGTTAAAGCCGTTTATAATTTTTCAAATTTTCATATCGTTTTGGAGTCCTAAAAATCAAAAGGCATTTCTATGGCAATATAATTTCGATTTCATTCTTTGATAGATTCTTTGATCAGTTGTACCTCAGTTGTACCAGTTTGTGCCTCCTGTACGATCTACTGCTAACCACTTGATCTTGTATTGCACATATGAAGCCTTCGGTTTCTCTCATGAGGTTAATGATTGTAAGGAATTGTATAGATCCGCTTTTATCAATTCTTTCTGCCTGGCTTTGGTTTGGTTTCCTCAGATGTTCCTGAACCGATGGAACTTCCATTGGAATATGGGAAGCCAGGTTCAGGGAAGAGTAGCCTCGGTCACTCCCGCATATGCTCGATGAAGGTAAGTTATCCCTTGATGATTAAAACTTTTTCTATCTCCATGAATCCTGGGGAGATACAACTTGATTTCTGAAGACGACTGATGGTGCAATCTGAACTGCGATAGTGTTCTCCTAGTAGCTCTGTCTATTTCCTGCAGCTCTGTTTCAAGCGGACCATTTCAAGACTCGATTTGTGCGCCAGGACAGGAATTGCCCATCCATTGACTGCTGCAATCTACTGTCTGCCACCATACATTACTTTCCCGTTTGCACCCGCCAATCAAATCGTTTCAGCACAAATGGGGCGGAGCAAATTTCCCGCGTTATTTGAAAATGAGGAGATTATTTATACCATAGCTTTATACACTTTTGCGTAATTTAGAAAATAGATTCTGAAATTTAAAATGTATTTATTTTAATATTAATTAAAAAAATGGACAAATTTCCCATGAAAATACGTTTGACGTAGAACTGTTGTTTTTCAAAAGATAACTATATATTTTATTTCATTAAAATACAGAAAAATGGGAGGGTGCAATTTAAAAAAGCTATACCTAGAGGTAATCATTCTTTTATTCGTTTACATATAATTAATATGTTGGTTTATGTATAGATCAGGAGTGTGTTCGATTTACTTTTAGATATACCTATAGGAGATACTATATACAGCGATTTTTCAAATAATTTGTGTCAATATTTGAGTTGCCTTTTTTTGATTCTGCAGTATCTTTATAATTTTTAAAACAAATTCCTGTAAATTTTAAGATCTATATTAGAAGTTTTTTATTTCTAAATTTTAAAGTAGGCAGCAGAACCTAGATTAATAATAATACCGAACAGACTGTATTTACCTACATTTATAGCAAAAATTTTGTAATGTTTCATTTTGGTTAAAGAACTTTACATTATTTATTTTGTGGTCCATAATGTATTAACAAAAATGTTAATATACATAAATAGGCTTAGCATGAATGAGGGTGAAAAACACAAGATTAGAATTTGTTAATAAAATTTATTTCTGTTAGTAATAAAGGCATGAATACAAACTACAGTGATATTTATACAACTAAATTATTTCAAACATATATTTATAAACCAAACCTTGTCAGCCCAAAATATAATAAGTACAGAGATATGACAAATAATATTTTAAAGAGTATAATAATAGTTACTCGTAATAGTGAAAAATAATACATATATTTTCTTCTCTGAATAATATGTTTGCTTCTGATTGTTCCTCTCTATGCAGCGTTTACACTGATTAATGTTATTTTTAAATTTACTATATTCTGAGCCATGAACCTCTCAAAACATTTTTTTAACAATAATAACCACAACCATTTACTAATAATTATATAACATAATTATATAAAACTTATTAAAAATGGTGAAGGTGAAACACAAAACATAAATTTTCTCCCCTGGATTTTCCTCTTTTTGCTGTGTCTACACTGATTAATGTTATTTTTAAATTTACTATATTACAATCTAACGTAACAACCATTTACTAATAATTATATAACCATCACCCCCATAATATTTCGGGTCATTGTCGCTCATAATATATTCTGCATCAATTGGTTTACCTAGGTTTGTTAAAAGAGCTTTAAAAAAAAATTCTTGAATTATCTGATCCAACCTGTTGGAAAGCAAAAACGCCACTGGAAATACTAAATTATTTTCATCCTTAATGCATATAACAGTTAAATTAAAATTTTTCCTGTTTGTTCCATGGGTGCCGTCAATACATATGATGCGACTAAAATCCAGCAGCTTTTTTTCCATAACAGCATTCATATACCCCACTGCAAAATTTTCATCTTTTAAACCTGGATAATTTTCACCTGAAATTAAATAAACATCTTATAATAATATAACCTTCTTTTGAAACTTTTAATTAACACTAATCAACATTTGATTTAATTACCAATTTTCTTAAATAAAAATAAATGGTTATTTCCTTGTTTATTCCATTCTTCAATTTTTAGGGCTGTAGCTGTCATATCATCATTATCCCTCTTCTTATCAATGTTGTACTTGCGAATCAAATATGCCAAATCTCCTCTTGTTACTAAATTTATCCTCTAAACTTTATTATTTTGAATGTTTTTTCTCGCATCTTGAATTATTCTGTCATTTGATACCCCTGCTGATAATTGTCCCACAATAATACTTTGTTCCACCTTCGACAATCGCTTTGTTCTCAACTCATCTGTATGGCCCACATGTTTCAAAAAATTTGGCTTGAATTTGACCTGTATTTTTTAATCATTAGGTAGGTATTAGACACAAAAAATATCATGATTACCATCTGTAGTTATTTTTACTAAAATTCGTGAAGGGCAGGTCCCATTTATGCGAATACTACCTCCAGTTTTCATATTACGTTTGCTGCATTGAACTAACAAATCCTAAGAATGAATTTTATTAAGAATGAAATATTTGTATAACATAAATAAGTCTACAATCTTTAGAATTGCTTCTGTTACAGTTATATAATAGTCTCTTCTCCACTAGCATGTTTTTGTCTATCATGACGAGCATAGTTTACTTCTTTATTATCCAGCGACATCCAAGTTGTAAACTCTTCAAGATTTCTAAAATAAAAAACAGATTGTTGAATATTCATATTATGTATGGTACTTAATTAAACAATCATGGAAAAAATACAATAAATGTACTAATCCTAACCCTAACTGCACAAATAACATAAAACACATAATTTAACAATCCATATTTAATTACACCTTTAATATGATAAAATAAAGATGAAAAGCACCAAAATCACAACAAATTAGTTATTAAAAAGATATTAAACCACACTAATATCCTTGAATATGTATAATAATATATAAAAACAAGACTAATATCTTTGCATGAAACACAAATTGGCGGGAAAATAGTAGTGACCGTATATAAAATCGTTCAAACACCCAGAAAGGCTAGCAAACGATTAAATATGGATTAGATTAAGTATTAAATCACAGAGTATTAAATTAAACGAATTAACCAACTTGAACTGTAAAATTTCCCAGTCACCTGATCGAAAACGGCGCGGACGTTTTAAAATACGATGTTACACGAAGGCTCTTTTCGGTCGAAATCGGGCACTGGGAATTAAACGGATTTTGATTGGCGGGTGCAAACGGGAAAGTAATGTATGGTCTGTCTGCCCGGTAAGTATGTTTTATAAACTGTTATCAACTCTCTTTAGGAAAATATTTTTTATTCTGATCTTCATTTCCTTATACTTGATCTGCGCCGTTTGTAACATTCCAAGATATTTGTATGCAGATGTCTTTAACGTCTTTATCTCTGTACTCTGTACCATCCATTAGTGTTGTCAGTCCATTGTCATGACTTCAGCTTCATCAGCTTACCTTTTTTGTAGTGTAAAGTGGCACATTTAGATAAGCCGAATTACATATGGATTGATTTGCTGAAACGGGATACCAATCCCAACAGGCTTTGAAGCTGCTCGGGGTTATTTGCTAATATCTTAAGATTATTTAGTACTACTTTATTTCACTTGGCGATCTTGTAGCCTAGGTTACTGTTTGAAATCTTATTCAGTTAAGAACAGAACTACATAAATTTTGTGCTTCTTTAAAATTTTAAAACAGAAAAAATATGACGTTAATTAAAATTTTTAATAACAATTTATCAAAGAACGAAAACGAAATTATATTACCTCTACCATAGAAATGCCGTTTGATTTTTAGAATTTTTGAATTTAATCATGTTTTTTTTTATTTTCTCTAAACGATATGGAAATTTGGAGAAGTATAAAAGGCATTACCCATTTTATAACAAGGAAAAACTTTTATGAAGAAATGCATTTTTCTCAAAATTTTAATAATAAAAAAATCCTCTTGTAAAGGCAATCCTGGGATATAGGGTATGCATGATCACTGACAAATGCACTCCAGTTATTTTTGTTACTATACTATGTTATCTGTGCTTCTACCTATAATTAACTTTTTTCCTTATTAATTTCTTGCTCTAAATTATTGAGCTATTTCATTTATTGATATGTGTGCCACATACGAAAAAGTTTTCACGAAAAACTCCTTTCACATCATTGAGATTTAAGGCACGTGGTCGCCACAAATATATCCCATAAACTACGTTCTCGGTCTTGGTTAAAGCAAGCGAAAGCTGGGGGCATGTATCATACGCTTGTCCTATACAGTTCCGACTCGAAAAGTGCAATATAGTTTACGGACATTTGTTTTAATGACGTTGCCTGTCTATTTTCCAAACTTACGATACGCTCTTAAACGGTTTCAACTCAGCCATATTCTATCAGTGAGAAAATATAAAAGATATTTATTGCCTTAATTCATTCTGTATTGTAATAAATATATCGGTATTGCAGATTGATCGTATGATGTGGGTGGTGTAACTTTATAATCAGAACTAAACACTGTCACCGTCATATATTTGAAATATTGTCATAGTTATTGACTCTCTAGTCAACATATTGGTATTGGAAATACAGCTATACGATAAATTGGTAACATTATAATATGTCTGAGATTGAAAAGCTAAATATTATCTCTTATCATAGATCTATTTTCGTATTGTAACGGAATTTTAAATTATGTCCTTATTTTCGAGAAAATTTAGTCCAAACATAAGTAATATGTTGTTGATGTTTGACCATCAAAATCTTAAAAATAAATAAGTTGTCTAAAAAATGTGCTACAATACGGATATAGTATAATCCTTTATCTTTAATTTCCTTCTTCATTTGTGTAAAAATACCTAGCCAGTTTTATATAAAACGTTAAATGCCGAACACTTATTTTGCCACTTTTTCGGACTAGTGAAATGGACTCTTAATAACTATTTATAATCAACTAATACATTAATAAGTACACAAGCCCTCTTATAACCTAACATCCCATCGGATTAAGTTAGTAATTCCTTTAAATTCTACCCAAAATCCGTCCCCTCGACATTCATAGAGTATTATAGCGAGCCACTACTTCGGCCCGGGGCAACAAATCTAACGTAGGGAACAATGAAGGCCCCACAATAGTTGACACTTCAATACGGCAAATATTTGCAACTACCGGTGACTACGGATCACCCCGTAGGGCCTGGGGGACCCTAAACCATAGAAGTATCAACTAGGACAGAGTAATATAAGATAAAACCTAGAAAATCCAAACTCTCAGCTTTTGAATTTTAATGTTTTTGTAACAATTGTGATGTTAGTAGTTAAAACTTTAATGTTCCAATGAACTGTCATTAAATAAAGTAAAATTTAAGATATCTACCTGATAGTAAAGTAGAGCATTCGATTCGCACTGGAGACAAATAGTATAAATAAAAGTAAAAGAGAAGTATTTTAAGTTAACGTCTCCTTTTTGCTGCAAAGGCTAATCTGGACGGGGCCTACATTGTTTACGCGGAATCCGAACCGCGGTCCTTGGTTATATCATGGTTAATGCCATTCCGACTTGGCGAGTAACTAAATCGACTCTTACTGACGAGATATCCGATCTCATCCGGCTTTGAATAAGCAGAGTGTGTCAATAGATTTTATACTGTTTTTATACTAACTTCCATGATCTATCGGAAACCGGTGTTTTGACGTAGCTGGGTTGTTATCTCTTTTACTAGTGAATGCTAATATTGAAATTCTAAATGGATCTATAGCATTCAAATTCGCAAATTTGACTACGACCAGAGCCTGTCGATACAGCAGTTGACTGAAATTTTGAGCTATTCAATTTTAAAATCCAGATTTCTTTGAATGTTGTAGACAATGATTCAGTATTAAAACTAAAAGGAAGAAGAACTTCTATTGTCTTTATTTATTTTGCTTACACAACTTTTGTATGCAACGAAGTATCACTGACCATTATCAAGTATGAACTAAACTAAATCCTAAAACTACTGACCTTATATACCAGAGCCGAGGATTCTGTGAATTAGTTGGGTGCAGTCAAGCATGAGGTTTTCCATTAAGAATACCTGCATTGGAGCGTTTTATAAGTGGTTGCCATATTGTTGAAATTTCCAATCTTGAATTGCTAAAGATTTTATTATTGTTAGAAATGAATACGGCCTCTTTAAATTTGCGCTTTTTCCAATGGGGTTCTTTGTGGACAATCCGGGCTTCCAACTATTCTATTTTATGGTGCTTGGACCACACATGATCTGCAATGCCCGACTTCATTGTTTCACCTCTTTGCGTATGTTTTTATGTCCGTCAAATCATACATGTAGAAGACTTCACTAGCGACTACAAACAATTACTAAAGTCGCCAAACTTCTTTAAAACACGAAATTCAATGGTCCAATGCGTGAGTTTTTTTTTGACATTTCCTAGTGAAAACAAATACAGTTACGCCACTGTACTTTAACACCTACCGAGCAGCTGTATCAATGACACACAGTCGGAACATAATAGGGGACTTTATAACACACTCTATTAAAATAGATTTAGGATTTCGTACAAGGAACGGTAGTTCATTAAAATGTTTATGCGATACTCGAAAATGCCGGCGGGGGGTCAGTATCACGAAGGGTGCCTCGTAACGGTACCTCGTCAGATTGATAAACTATATACGTATATGCATGTGTATAGGAAAAGACCGCTGAAAAGAGTCTGTGTACATAGTAAGTTTGGATAGGAAGAGTGAATCAAGATGGTGTGAGTTCGACAAATACAAAAAAACTTAAGATATACACTCACCGGCACGAAAAAGAGTGTCATAAAATGTATTTTAAAGTTTAATTTATTTTGTTTAAGTTATCTTAACAAGAAATCGGAAAGAGCTGATATCGGTGACCAAAAGACTAGAAAATCAAGCGTAAAAAGTAGGCTTAGGGTTTAATGAGAAGAAAACGAAATTTATGGAGTGGTCAGATAGGGATTTTGAGAAGGGAAGGTATCTACACTTGAATTCTGAGAGAGGTAAACGATACAAGTTTGAGGAAGTAGATACATTCACATATCTAGGATCCGCATTTCTAAGGAATCCAAATGTAACTAAAGAAATCATAACAAGAATAATGGCAGGAAATAGATGTGTCAGCGCACTACAGAAAATTATTAAGAGTAAGAACATTTCTAGAAGTTTAAAAATCAGAATGTACCAAATAATAAGACCAATAGTGTTGTATGCATGTGAAACGTGGACGTTCAATGCAACGGAAAGTTTGAGGCTAGATATTCGGAAAAGAAAAATACTGAGGAAGATTTATGCAGGAAAGAAGATAGACAACATATGGACCAGAAGAACAAATGAAGAATTAAAGCAACTATATCGGGCACCGAGTATAACGGGAGTAGCAAGAGCACAAAGACTGAGATGGCTGGGACACATTGAAAGAATGGTTGAAGCAAGAATTCCTAGTATGATAATGAGACGTGAAATAGGTGAAAAGTGAAGGAGAGGCAGACCGAGAATCAGATGGAAAAAGGATGTAGAAGAGGACTTGAGAAGGATAAGAGTGGATGGGTGGAGAATAAAGGCGAAATACTGGAAAGACAGAAACAAATTGAGAAAGATAACCAATCAAGCCATGAGCCTTTTAGGCTTTTATAGCTATTATATAATTTATTTTGTTCTAGTGGGCCGATTTTAATGATTTTTAAGCAATTGTAGCTAAATTATTTGCCTTTTTAGTAGCTCTTTCTGAAGTAAAAGTAAAATTTCCTATCTGTCAATTATCTATCAATTATTACCTGGAAAACAAAATGTTGATATTTTGCTAAAAGTTTGAAACACCCTGTAGAATATGTTAAAAAGCAAAGAATATAAATATTCTTTTATCATCTAGGTAATTTATTTTTTCGTTCATTTCAATAGCTTTATTTTTTTTGGAGATTTTGAAGAACACTAACATTTTTCGTAATTTTTACATTAAAACAATATCATTGCTTTTGATACCAGTGTCAACAGACCTATGAAATAATGTATTGTCTTCATTATATTTATAAAGCCTGTGGTTTGTGTTGGGGATTTCATTTAAAATTTGACCAATAAAAGATGGGGGTACAATAAATTGA